ACAACACTCCTCACCCAGTCCCCTCAAATAGAGGCTTGCTAGTCACATATTGATACTGGGGGGCTTTGTCAATGAGGGAGTGAAAGATTCCTGTGGCTAGTTCTTAACAACAGAAGTACTCCTTTATTCTTGTGTACCTTTTTATAGAGAACTCTCGAAAGCATTGTTTCATTTGATGCTTTAGAAATACCTTGTAGTATAGGAGAGGTTTTGACTAGTAGCCCATTTCCAGATGAAGGGAGAAATTAGAAGAGTTATGTTTTCTTTTTTTCTTTCCCCCTTTTTTATTGAAGGGGGTGGTGCTTTTTGGATCACACCCAGTGATGCTTTGGAGTTGTTCCTGCCTCAGCATTCAGAAATGACTCCTGGAGTTGCTCAGGGGACCATATGGGATACCGGGGATTGCACCGGGTTTGCTGCGTGCAAGGCAAACGCCCTACCTGCTGTACTATTGCTGACATCGAGAGGAGTTAAATTTTCCTATGAGATTATGCAATTAATTAGAAGATTTGGAAACAATTGTAGACTTTGCTGTTATTCCACTAGCATCAGTTTGCTATGCAGTCATTGCAGGCGGGAGTTGATAGGGTGGTTGGATGGTAGCATTTATGACTCTGCCTTATAATACGCTTAACACCGCAACATTCAGCAGACCTCTATTTGTGACTGCGGCTGCCACATCTCGTATTTTCTACCATATTGCGTTCCCACCATGCAGCATGTCAGAATTGCAGATGAGTGTTTTCAGAGAGTCCACCAGGACTTGAGGAAGGCTTAGGGAGAAGACATATTTTGAGACACGTGGAAGTAGGGTTTGGGGGTTAGGGTAGGTTCTTAAAGTCTAGAATGCATGAAGCTTGCGATTTGATCACATTGTGGCAGCAAGAACTTTCTTGTTCAGCTAATCAGAAAGTGTCCATATTATGCCTAGGGGGTTCAAAGATCTATAACTGAATTGTAGAGAGTTAGAAGCATCAGACAATGTTCCAAAATCTTCTAAGCCCCAAAGGGCCTATAATATCACCACAAAGAGAACATATGCAAATACAGTAGCCAGCAACATAAAGTAGGGAATTGATAGAGAAGATGAGACTGGGGAGGTTGTGAATGTCCCTGAATACTGATATGAATAGTTTGTTCCTTAATTTTAAGAAGTAGTTCTGGGAGCATTTTCAGTTGCAGATGATTGTTGGAAATTTTGCACTTAACCCTGGTGACAGTGCCCAGGGCAGAATAAAGAATATAGGGGAAACAACAGGTGATCACTGGAAAAGCAAATTAGAAAAGAAGTAAACATTCTGACATCCTTAGAGCAGGGAGGTGGCCATGGGGTGATGGGGAAGGCAGTCCACAGCCTGGGGCAGCCTCACACTGTCCAGCATCAGCTCACTTACCCTTGGCTCTTAGCTTCTTCCTCACACAGAAGTGTCACAATTGTTTCTATTCCAAATAAACAATTTTTCATCTCTCTGAAAAAAACATTTTTTTATAATGTCCAACCCATAAATCATGACTTAAGAAATGAGAAACTACTTAAGAAATGATGAAACTGGAGCTGGAGAGATAGCACAGCGGGTAGGGTGTTTGCATTACACGCGGCCGATCTGGGTTTGATTCCCAGCAGCCCATATGGTCGCCTGAGCACCGCCAGGAGTAACTCCCGAGTGCAGAGCCAGGAGTAACCCCTGTGCATCGCCAGGTATGACCCAAACAATAGCAACAACAACAACAAAAAGAAATGATGAAACTACATGGAAAGTGTCATACTAAATAAATGAGTCAGAAAGAGAGGGACAGACATAGAAAGATTGCATTCATCTGGGGAATATAAAGTAACAAAATAGGAGACTAACATCCAAGAATAATTGAGATAAGTGCCAGGAGGTTCACTCCATGACTTGAAGGCCTGCCACACATGCTAGGGGAAAAGGCAGCTCAGATAGCGAAGGGAACACCAAGTAAAGGTGTTGGGAGGATCATCCCAGGATGGGCGATGCATGCTGAAAGTAGACTATAGACCGAACATGATTGCCACTCAATGCCCCTTTTGCAAACTTCAGTGCCCAAAAGGATAGAGAGAACAAAAGGGAACACCCTGCCACAAAGGCAAGATGGGATGGGGGGATGGAGGATGGGAGGGATACTGGGATCATTGGTGGTGAAGAATGGGCACTGGTGGAGGGATGGGTACTCGATCCTTGTATAACTGAAACCCAAGCACAAAAACTTGTAAGTCTGCAACTGTACCTCATGGCGTTTCACTATTAAAAATTTAAAAAAAAAAAGAAATGATGAAAAACTCCAGGAGATTTTTTTAATGCCCATTCAAGAATTTTTAATGACAATTCACTGTCAAAGTAGACAGCATCAGGTACGGAGCAAGAGCAGTCCTGCTGCCATCTGGTTTGACCTTGAGTCGTTGTGTGGCCTTGCTGGGAGCTGTGTCCCTGCCCTGTGGCCTCTGCACTTTGTGTTTTCTCTGTCAGCTATTTCTACCAGGCTCTGCTTACTCTTGGAGGTTCTGGCCACTGCACCAGTAAACGTAGACACCAGGTCTGGCCTGAACATCAATGTGTGATGAGTGCATCATTTTCTAGGGGGAAGTAAGGCCATCATTGATAGAATGAGTCACAAGACTTGACAGGGGACGGGGAGCAGGGGACAAGAATGTTAAAGGTCTAAGATTAGCTGAGTATTGATTTCTGAGGAATGTGTTACTCATAGCTGTGATTTATTACCATAAAAGAATGCAAGTAAAATCAGCAATAGGCAGGCTGGGGAGGGCCATGAACAGAGGAGAATGAGGCGATTTTCCAAGAGACCTTTCTCTGTGGAGGTCTACAGAGCTCCTCCAATACAGAGCCAGCAACACATGTGCAGTGCCAGGTACTGCTTACATTAGGGATCCAAGGGTTTTAATCGGGGAGGGATGTGCTGGATACAGAAGTACCTTCTGCATAGCCCTCACCCAAACTCCCAACTCTCAGAAAGCAAGGAAGAGCTCGGCATCAGCATGTTGGTTGTACAAGCTGTTTAGGCGCAGGGAGCCACTCTTGACAGTTCTGGGAATTAAATTTCTGCAACCAGAGTTCCCAGATCTCAGTCAAGTGTCAGTCTTGCAAGTTGTTCTTCCTCAAGATTATGGAATCAACCTCCCACACATTGAGATGGTTTTTCACTATCTGTCACTATCCTCCCATTGTTCATTGATTTGCTCGAGCGGGCCCAGTAACGTCTCCATTGGAGACTTTGTTGTTACTGTGTTTGGCATATCAAATACATCACGGGTAGCTTGCCAAGCTCTGCCCTGTGGGTGAGATACTCTCAGTAGCTTGCCGGGCTCTCCGAGAGGAATCGAACTCAGGTCGGCCATGTTGGCTGCGTGCAAGGCAAATGCCCTACCGCTGTGCTATTGCTCCAGCCCGTGCTATCGCTCCAGAGATGGTTTATACTCTTGCTTAAGTTTGCTGAGAAAGGAGCATTGATGAAGACAGTTTCCCACAGTCCCGGAGTGTCTGATGTGAAGTAGTGATTGTGTTTCTGCAAGTGAAATTTGAGGTTGTGGCAAAGAAGTGGGCTGAAGAAGGAGCCCAGAGTTGAGGGCTGAAGGGGATGCCGGCCTCATATCCATGGATAGGTGAGGGGAGGGGGTGGCAGGGGAATGGGATGTTTTAGAAAATGAGAGAAAGGTTGTATAAAAAAAGGAGGAAGAGTAAGCAATACATGAACCTAAGAACATGGTATTTAAAGTGTTGAAGGTAGTTAGGGATTATGGAGACTGCCAAAATGCTAATGAATTTACACTTCATTAGAATTTAAACTTCTCTTAAGAATGTGTAAATATGGGGCCTGAGGCAGAATACAGTAGGTAGGACACTTGCCTTGCAAGCTGCCAACTGGGGTCTATCCCCAGCACCTTATATGTCCCGCAAACTCCTTCAGAATGATCCCTGAGATGAGAGCTTAGAGCTTTGAGCACTGCTGGGTTTACATCCAAAGCAAAAGGAATGTGTAAATAGGGCCATATATTGGGGAAAATATATAATACATACACATATATATTCACCCTATATATGTATATTTATCCCTAAAGGTTAACTGCATACATTAAACAGAATTTATTAGCCAGTACTTTACATAGCCTTTCCCCATCACATCTTTCTGTTTTTTTTTTCTTTAGATCAGTTTCCAAAAAGTCCTATTCTGATTTTTTAATCATTGCTCTTATTCTAATTTGTTTGCCTTTGGGCGGAAAAAAATTGAAGAGCTCTGGGAAGACTATAAAGCAAGTCTTTGAGCCTTACTGCACAACACGCTCTCCTAATTATTGAGGGACACCAACCTCCAGAAAGCACCTCCTCTTTCTTGATGGAAATGTAATTTTATTTATAGATCTAAGAGGATTGTGTTTGCCGGGCATTGATCTCATTGCTGCTGAAGGGTGAAGAGTAAATATTGAAAGTGGCTTGTTTTGTTTTCCCACACCCCCAGGGGTTGATGAAAGTGCTTGGATTTCATCTTGTCTGCTTGGTCTTTTTCCAAAGCCCTGACTTTTAGGCCTGAAATCTCTTAAGTTTAGTTTTTCTTGGTGTGGGTTCTCAGAGGTTACAGTTATATAACGTTTCTGAGCTAGATGACCATCATTATGTAGTACCATGTGGACCACTAATGGCTGATTCTCTTGTAAATAGAAAACATATTATACCTACATTTATTTGGAGACCCAGAATTTGTGGGGGGCTGATTTTAAGTAGCTCCTGGTGTAGCAAATGAGTAGTTCATGGTGTAACATCGCACACTCACACATGGCTCAGGAATTGGAAAATCTTAGAGGTGGAGTATGCAAAGCCCCACATGGCATATGCCATCCCTGTCATCCTGAGTGTGGGGTGGGGTGGGGGCAGTTCTGTCCTGCTTCACTTTACTAAACTCCAGGAGGGTAAAGGCACACTGTGTTTGAAGTGGTTTTAAATTCTTTGTCTATCGTCCTAATATTCCAGGGCTTCCAGCAGAAATTCTCCTTCCACAGTAAAGAGATTGTGGCTATCAGCTGCTCCTGGTGCAAGCAGGCGGTAAGTTTGGAGGAGGAGGGAGGGGAATAAAAACACCGGGGTTCGCATTTTATCAAGATAGACTCATGATAGCACAGTGGTAGGGCATTTGCCTTGTGTGCAGCCAGCCTGGCCCAACCGGGTTCGATTCCTCTGTCCCTCTCGGAGAGCCCGGCAAGCTACCGAGAGTATCTCACCCGTGTGGCAAAGCCTGGCAAGCTACCCGTGACGTATTCAATATGCTAAACACGGTAACAACAAGTCTCAAAATGGAAATGTTACTGAGCCTGCTCGAGCAAATCGACGAACAACAGGAGGACAGTGACAGTGACAGTGACAGAGTCATGACATCGCTTGAGTCTATCATTGGAAGGTTATCCTAAATTAACCTATTGCTTCTGTCATATAGGAACACTGGAGGAAGACTAAACCGATAGAACAATAGCATATGCCGCAGATTGGGGCAAGTGGCAGAGATAAATTAGCCCCTTTATTTATGACATTGAAGTCTGATGTCAGAGAATGCGGGTACTTCCCCTTGTTCCCCTGGGTATCTCGTCAGAAGGAACTGACTCCTTGTTTTCTTATTGCACTAGATTGTGAAGAGCTCCTATGGCAGGAAGTTGCAGTATTAGGAGCAAATCAAAGGGCACTATTAGATAACACCCTCCCCCCCCACCCCCCTACCAAGGAAGTCTAGATATCTTGATTCCACTGTTTTGATTGTGGGCAACTTTTGAGGCGCTGAATTAGGAAGAGGGGAGTGGTTCTTTGATATATCTTTCAAATTGGATATTATTGTAGTTATCTGTATGTTCATTGAGATACACTGGTGCTTTATATTTGAATGCATATATTCATTAGGGTCCAATAGTAATATACTGCATTTACCTTTCCTTTCATATCACTGTATCACTGTTATCCCGTTGTTCATCAATTTTCTTGAGCAGGCACCAGTAACATCTCCATTCGTCCTAGCCGTGAGATTTTAGCAAGTGCCACATTGGAGGCTCTTTCAGGGTCAGGGGAATGAGACCCATCATTGTTACTGGGTCTTGGCATATCAATTATGCCACGGGGAGCTTGCCAGACTCTGCCGTGCAGGCATGATACTCTCAGTAGCCTGCCACGTTCTCCGAGAGCAAGAACTAGACAATATCTTTCATATATGTTTTTTAAATCTTGTAATACCTCTGTCTTACCAAGATGCTAACATTTTCTCACTTGTTTGCCTGAGAACCTTTTCTTTCCTCTACCAGACCATGTATACTCATGATTGGCAAACTAGAACCTATAGTCCAAATATGTTGGCTGTTTTTTACTGTCTTGGGGCCACACTCAGTGGTACTCCTGGCTTACTGTACTCCTGCTTCAGGATTCACTCCAGGCAGGACTTGGGTGATCATATGTGGTGCTGGGGATTGAAGCTGGGTTGACCGCATGCAAAGCAAGCACCTACTCTCTGTAGTATCACTCTGGCCCTATGATGGGTATTTCTTTCTTTTTTTTTTCCTTCTTCAGTTCACTTTTTCTTTCTAGTTTTTAAATATTTTTTAATTGAATCACTGTGAGATAGACCTTACAAAGCTGTTCATGATTAGGTTTCGAGCATAGTGTTCCAACACCCATCCCTCCTCCAGTGCACATTTTTCAGCAACAACCAGTGTTCCCAATTTCCCTCACAACACCCCCAACCCCCTAATCTGCCTCTATAGCAAGCACTTTCTTTCTTTCTTTCTTTCTTTCTTTCTTTCTTTCTTTCTTTCTTTCTTTCTCTCTCTCTTTCTCTCTCTCTCTCTCCCTCTCTCTCTCTCTCTTTCTCTCCTTTAGGCATTGTGGTTTGCAATACAATCACGATCACAACCATCCTGTTGTTCGTCAATTGCCTCAAGCAGGCCCCAGTAACGTCTTCTTTATCCTAGCCCTGAGATTCAAGGCTCTTTCAGGGTTAGGAGAATGAGACCCATCATTGTTACTGGTATTTGGCATATTGGGTACACCACGGGGAGTTTGCAATACAATACTGAGGGGTTAGCCCGGCAAGCTACCGAGAGTATTCGATATGCCAGATACAGTAACAACAAAGTCTCCAATGGAGACGTTACTGGGCCCGCTCGAGCAAATCGATGATCAACGGGAGGGCCTTTACCTTTACCTTTACCTTTATCTACTTTTAATACTGTGATGGGTATTTCTGCAAATAATATTTTATTGGAACAAAGTTTTATCTATTCATTCATGTAAGATCTGTGTAGTTTCCCCTTGCATATATGACTTATTTCACGCTACAGTAGACAATATTAGGAGTTGCAACAGAGACTAAAGGGTTTATTCTAGGGGATTTTATGGAGAAAGTTTGTGGACCCCTGCTCTAATTTTTTAATCCATCTACCATTTTGAGTGACTGTATAAAACTGTGATTTTAAAAGAAAAATGACTGTAGTATTGAGCTAGGGGTGGTCAGAAGTCTTCAGTCTCTATTCACATCCCATTTCTCTATCTGAGGCCCATAGATGAGAGCAGATGCTTTAGTTGAAACGATGACACTGATATCTTGGAGGTCAACTTTGGAGGTCCAATTGAAGATGGATAATTTCATAAGGTTTAGCCTCATAATCTCCCCACTATTGATTCCCTAGGTCCCCACTTGTCAGTAGAATCTGCTGTCCCTAAGTCTAAATGCATTGGTGCAGAAATTTCAGTGCTAATCAACCTCCTACTTCATTTTTTTTTCCTAAACACTGAATATTTCCATCTCCTTTTAGTTGTTACACACTCACCTTTTGAGTACATGCCCACAAATCCTGCTCCTTGAAAGAACCACTGGCCATGCACAGAGGTGCTCTCTCCCTTTGGCGAGACGCAATCAGATTTGGAAACATGATATCTCTGGCAACATTCGTTCTAATCTAGTGACCCTAATCTAGTGAACCACCCCCCCCCAACCCATCCACTCCCCAACTGTGGGACAGAAGTATTTGCTCTTGCCCCTGTGATTTTGTAATTGATTTATCCAGGGTCAGTGACTTTGGGGACTTTGGTTCCCTTTTACAGTAATGATAAAGCCTTTTTTTAATTGATCTATTCATTGATCACTCTGAGAACTGAACTTGTCCTTGTCTGTTGTGGCCAAACATGGGTCAGTTCTACTTTTTTTTTTTTGAGGGAGGGGAGGGTTTCTCAGGGTTCCCTACATGGCAGAGGGTGATTTTCAGAACTGCAACTGCAAATCATTTGAAGAGAAATGAAGAGTCCTGGCATTCTCTTCAGGGGCATCACTGAATAAGTGACCTTATATGGTGCAGCAGAATAGGGAAATTTTGAAGGTTTAAGAACTGAGTTTTCTGGACTCGGGTCCTGACACCACCCCATAGCGATGGTGTCATTTGAGACGTCTCTGTTGTTTCTATTGATTACCCAGGGGGTAATTTGAAAGACTTGAAGGCTGAGATCACTCCTGTTTAAGAAATACAAGGGCCAAAGAGTTGGACATTTCTTTAAATTGCTGAGAAAAAAAAATAGTTTTTAAAGAAGGTATTCAAGTAACATTTCTCATGTAACAAATTTCTTACAGATCACAGATAGCTCATGGCAGGGAAATAATTATTCAATGCTGTTTTAAGCTTCATTAGTAACTAGCCACTATTTCATGTCAGATCTTGAAGATATGTAGAAAGTGAAGACAGAAATGCTCCGATCTGATCTAATTGGGGTGACCAGTTTTCCTGGACAGTCCTAATTTATGCCTGTTGTTTCAGTGTAATTAGTATTAGTGCTCCTTTTCACTCTTAAATTTGCTCCAGTTAAGATGATAAATTAGGTGCAGACATACGTATAATCCAAGTAGAAACAGTTGTTAAATTTCTTTAAATCACTGTGATTAAATTGTTAAGACCCATAATTACTGTAAAATGTGGGTTTTGTTTATCAGAAAACAAATGTCATCAAACATCATTATCCCTTTCTTTTATTTTTTCTTTTTTTTAAAATTGAATCACAGTGAGATGCACAAAGTTATACATGATTGGGTTTCAGTCATATAATTTTCCAACACCCCTCCCTTCACCACTGTACATTTCCCACCACCAATGTCCCCAGTTTCCTTCTTCGTTATCCCTTTAAAGCCTCCCAAAGATGATTGAACATGCGATTGACCTGTCTGAATGCCACAGATTGGGCAGATTTAAGCCCCTAATTCTGAGGTATAGTTAAGATTATTAGCCTACCTATACTCCCTTTCAAATCCAAAGAACATTTTAGACTTGTCAATATAATAAGGCCATTATATTTTTCAGTGACCCTAGATAAGCCCAGTGGATGCAATTTCTTTTCCTTCCCTTGGTTTTGGGGCTACACCCGGTGGTGCTCAGGGCATACTCCTGGCTCTGCACTCATAGATCCCTCCTGGTGGGTGCTGAGAGGTTGGCTGTGTGCAAGGCAAGTGCCTTACCCACTGTACTAGCTCTCTAAGCCCTGTGGGGTATTTTTTTTTTTTGGTGCTTTGTTTTCTCTTGGATTGACAACCAGAGGATACCTCTGACTTCATGCCTGGGTCCACTTAAGTAGAAGGACTGCTCAACAGGATTGATACCTACAGACTTTTTTTTTTTAAAAAAAAGGGGGGGAGGGGAGAGGCAGATTATAGGTACTCCTTTTCCTCAGTTTCTTTTTCAACATTATCCAAGATCAACTGTGACCAGCACAGATGGGGTGAAACAAAATCAAATGCAAAGTTCAGGTGAATAGACTTTCCAGGCCTTCCATCTTTCTGTAGAAATCCTATTAAACGATTACAAAGTCTTAGTGTGTCTTTTCCCACCAGACTGATTTTGGGTTCTCAGTGACCTTCCTTTTGTGTAGTGAGATGAATCTGAAAACGGGTATCTGCTCCCAAGCTACCTGTGTCCTAAGTGTGTGTATGTGTGTGTGTGTGGGCTGTGCGTTCCTAGGCTCGTGAGCATGTTCATGCATGAGCGTGCATGTGTGCCCCCCGTGATCTCGGGTGTGCATGCGTGCATCCGCGTGGGGGCATGTAGCAGTCCCTTGCTCTCTGCAACCCTGCCCTGGCTCAGATTTGTCGCTTGACCCGCCTCTCTCTTCAGTTTCACAATAAGGTGACCTGCTTCATGCTGCATCACATCGAGGAACCCTGCTCCCTGGGGGCTCATGCTGCTGTCATCGTCCCGCCCACCTGGATCATTAAGGTGAAGAAACCTCAGGTAACTGCTGGGCCCCTGTTGCTGAGGGGCCAGAGCAGAGAACAAGTAGCTGCTGTTGCTTCTTGCTTCCCCCCTTCCACTAGTCCCTGGGGTCCTCTGGTCTCCACGCCCTTGTCCCTCTAATCCCATGCCTAGCTTCCCCACTCCATCCCGGGAGCCCCTTCTTCCCCACTGCTGGGCTCTCTCATGGAACCAGCCTCCACTTCCGAAAGACATCCAGAGTGTCACAGCAGGACTGCCTCTAGTCCCCTTTCCTCTGCTAAATGATGTTCTCTTTGCTGGGACCTTCCCCAAGATTCAGTACTAGTGCTGGGTACATGGGACTCCCAGTCAACTCCCGTCTCTTTGGGACATCTCTGGACAATGACTCTAAGTGCAGACTGTGCCCACTTCAGTACAGGTAGAGAGAGAGTACTTGCAGACTGAATGGTTCACCGCAGACCACCACCTTCCCAAATGCACAAGACCTGCTATTGAAGTAGTGGTCTCTTCTTCAGGCAATGCAGTTGTCCATCTCATACTGCCCCCAGTTCCAATTGTACTTCCTGTCATAGAGCATCCCTGTGAAAAGAGTCTAGATTCTAGTGGTTTTTCATCAAAGTTAAAATTTCTGATAGAAAAATCTCTACCTTTGTACTATTCGTCTTAAGATAGTGCCACGTTAGGAAACTTTGCTTTTAATGCCATGTGAAGACTTTACCTAGGTTACAAGTTCCTTACCGAGCTGAACTGGACCTACCAGCTTTAAAAGATGTGGTATTCCTACTTCAGATGGTCTCCAGAGTCATGGTGTAAAGTATTCTCATTGACTCCATTTTATTTAACCATTAATGCATCAGGGTCACTGTTTTGCCTTTTTTGTTTTATTCAAAGTTTTGCCTTTGTTAGTGAACAACATTTTGGAATAACCCAATTGAGTTTTGAATCATGTAACTCCTTAGGGACTCATTAATAGAAGCAAATGTTAACATCTGCAGACATGAAAATGGAGTCTTTACATTCACTGCTAGATGACTTAGCCAATGTAGATTGTATTTTCTCTACATGCTGTATCTGTAGACAGTATAGCCTGCCTCTAAACTTCACTAAACTGGTTTTTAATATGATGTTTTTGAAACTCCTTAACATTTTTTCTTCCTTGCGAGCAATGTTTCCCTCTGAAATTCAGTAATGATCAGCTTTATTTTAAATATCCTCAGTGAAATCAACACCAACCTCAGTGGTACCAAGAAGACTTCTAGGCATTGCGATTCAATACTTGATCTTTGCTCTGAAGGACTGTGCAGGGGAGATCAGGGACAGCTCCATGGAGGAGGTGGATTTTGTTCTCCTTTGAACAACAGTAGGAATTAGCTCAGTGGAGAGGAGAGGAGCTAACAAGCAGGAGGATGGTCCAGGTGGGGCACTGGGTCTGAACTGATCATTTTGGGACTGTGGAACTAGTTTGAAGTGTATAGTTCATGGATGGGTGTGTAGGAGGCGAATGTCAGGTTGCTGAAACCTGACCAGGGCGCACAAGGGGGCTTTGATAGATGTAGATTTTATCCTTCTAGCAAAGGAGCAGTAAAGTGAACATGGTATTTTCCAAGGGAGTAACTAACAAAAGTCAATAGAAAGACCTAATCCGTGTAGACTTTGGAATACTGGAGGGTAAGAAAACCACTTTGGAGAGCCATTGCCAAGTTCGCTTTAAGAGAACTTTTCATCATGGAAATTTTCATGCCAGCAAAAACAGTGGGATTGTGATGAATTTTTCTCTGGCCATGTATTTTTCTGTTCTTGTTCCATCGACCTCTTATTGTCTAGCTCTCACTCTCAGAGAACCCGGCAGGCTACCAAGAGTATCCTGACTGAGAACACCTGTAAAGGTGATTAGAGGCTGCCTCAAAAGCCTCCATCCCTCTCAGAGAGCCCGGCAAGCTACTGGGAATATCCCGCCCACACAGCAGAGCCTGGCAAGCTACTCGTGGCATACTCGATGTGCCAAAAACAGTAACAATGATGGTCCTCATTCCCCTGACCCTGGAAGAGCCCCCAGTATGCCATAGGGCTACACTAGCACGTGACAGGGACGAATGGCGAAGTCACTGGTGCCCGCTCGAGCGAATCGACAAATAGCGGGATGGTAGTGATAGTGATTTCAATCTGTCATATTTATTCATATAACATAAACTATGTGTTACTTTGTGTTCAGTCCACTTCACTCATTATTCCTGTGCATATTGTTCCATTTTTGAATGGTTAGAACCCCTTCAATGTGACTCATACCTGTTTTACTTGAGCTATGAGATTTTGGGCAGCCACTTTGATTTTAGGAATAACCTCTTGTAATAGGATCCTTGTACACTTCTTGTTCAGGTCTGTAATCACTACTTCTCTAAGGAGTCTTTTTTTCTTCCTAAATTAGAAGTGGAGGTTATACCAAGGTAAAATGTCGAGTTACAATAGTCCAAATTGTTTTTTTATCATGCAATTTTTTAAATTATCTACTACAATTAAGGACATTGTAATGAGAATAATGGGTGCTAGCAATTATTGAATGCTTTCTGTTTTAAGAAAAAATTTAATATATAATATTCCACTTGAATTTAGAAATTTTGATTTTAAAAACCAAATTCACAGTGATATGCTGTACTGTCCCACTCTTTGACTACAGCAGACCTTGGTGAGTTGTCATTAAAAATGTTGGTAGTGCCTGTTCTCATGAGCTCTAAAGTTTATAAAGGAATCTAATCATTTAACTAAATTCTGTTTTAAAAGCTGACATGTGGTGAGTTTGGGGGAGCAAGAGAGTAGTGGCTTAGAGCTTTAGGGAGTGCTTTTGTACACAGTCTGCTGGATTCTTAACCTCGTTTTTCCATTTTAACTTGCATCACCTCTTAAATTAAGCTTTTCCGTTTTTCACTTGCAAAGTATAATAGAGCTAGATTATAGTACCTATTTCATAGATTTTAGTGAGAATTTCTGAGCTAAAAAAAAACCAAAAAGGCACTTAAAGCATCATATGGCTTGTTATAATCACTAAAATGCTCTCTCTTATTTTCCTTCTTGTTTACTTTTAAAAAAGTAAAAGGCATCAAATGAATTTATACTACGCAGATTAAAATATGTACAGTTACATAGGGTCTGGGGCAGGAGTTACTGATCCGCTGGGCCATCAGTATTACAAGAAAAGAGAAAGAAGGGATGTGAGATTTTTTGGTGCAGAGGTTAGAAAGAAGATGTGTAGGGGCCCCAGTCAGATGTTCAGTATGGTCCCAAGTGAACCTTGAAATCCTGCTGTAATTGTATTTCAAGTTGGAGTGGGATTGGTCAATGGCATGATGCTTGTCTTGCGGGGGAAAGTCAAAGCCTATTTATTTATTGACTAAAAGAACAAAATGTTTTCCCAATCTTTGACTACAGCAAAGTAGAATAGTAGGGATAGTGATTTCAATCTGTCATATTGAGTTTTAGAATCTCTCTCAGTTGTTCTACTCTGTATATAATATATATATCTATAATGTCTGTGTTGTTATAATAAACTACATAAAAATGATGAAGTAGATAATTCTGATTTACTTAAGAAAGCATTTATTTAATTATGCACATATAACAATGTTATATGCAGTGAGAGGCTCCAGGATGAGTCAGATGTCCATGAGATATTCACCAAAATTAGTCCCTCCCAGAGACATAGTATAGCAGGTAGGGCATTTCCTTTGCACGCAACGGACCCAGATTCGATCTCTTGCATCTTATAGTGTCACCCAAGCACCACCTGGAGTGATTTCTGGACAGAGCCAGGACTAACCCTGAGCATCTCTGGCTGTGAACCAACCCTCCTGTCCCCCTTCATTCTCTTCCAACCCCTTTCCCCTCCCACAAATAAACCCCAATGTAGGCCCTCTAGTAGGGAGACTACACATGACAGTCTACATCATTGAACTGGGGGGTTTTGGATTCTGGAAGAGGAATTTGGCCCATGTAAATTTTTAAGGCTTGTTCTTTTGCTGTCTGGGGGCCTTCATTTCTTAGTCAGTGCACATCTTTTAGGAGAGAGGCACATAGAGGATAAGGGGGAGGGGCCAAACAGACTGGTTGAAGAGCCATGATCAGTGAAGATCTCCAGGGTTTAAGGGCAAGAAGCTTTTTAAAATTTTTATTTAGTTTTTTAAAAAATTGAATCACAGTGAGATAGTTTCAAAGTTGTTCATGATTGGATTTCAATCATATAATGTTCCACCAGCAGTGTACATTTCCCACCACTAATGTCCCCAGCTTCCTTCCCCACCTCCTCTACTGCCTCTATGGCCAGCACTTCCCCCAACACCAACTTTTGGGCATCATGGTTTGCAATACAGATACTGAAAGGTTATCAGGTATATCCCATTACCAACACTCAGTTCCTGTCCAAAGTGATCATTTCCAGCTATTATTGTGATAGTGGTCCCTAGGCAAGAAGGTGTTACTGAAGATCTAGAAACTTGATGGAAATTTATAGCAAAATTGAATGGCTTTAGCATTGGGGCTCAGTACGGATTTAAAAAATATATCAATTGGTGCTTGGTCTTAAAGGATGGGGATGCTTTTGGGAAGAGGGATGAAGAATGACAGTGCAAGCTGAGAGAACATGCTGAGAATTATAGTTCTGCATTGAGATACCACTTACTGTCTCGAATATAATATATAACTATATAATGTGGATCATCAACCAATTCAACGATGTGATTTTGTACCTAAACAAATGACTCTACGGGGAAAGGAGTAAAGGGAATTTGAGTGCAGAATGTGAGAGAAGTGGGTAGTAGGAGGAACAACTGAATCCCATCCATTCTTCTTCTGTTAAAGATACTGGCTTTTGGTGGTTAATTACACTGTGAGAAACTGGGGAATGGAGAGTTGTGTGGGATCTGAGTGGAAAGGGGAAGATGGACTTCTTAGGTGATTTGCCAGGTCACCAAATTATTGGGAGAGACCTAGCCGTTAAGAGTTGATAGCAAGCCAACTTTAACAAACTAAAAGTCAGGGGGCTGGAGCGGTAGTACAGTGGGTAGGGCCCTTGCCTTGCACTTAGCTCACCCTGGTTCTATTCCTGACACCATATATGGGTCCCTGAGTTCCACCAGGAGCAATCCTTGAGCACAGAACTAGGAATGAGCCCTTAGCACCACTGTATGTGTCCCCCAAACAAAGACAGAGATAAAGAAAGAGAAATTAAAAGTCAAAAGGGAGCAAATATTTCAGAATCAAGAACAAATCCATAAATAAGTTTAAACCCAACATATCAGTAAAGTTACAGATATCAGTGTTTTAAACTAAAATGATTATGATTAATAGTTAGAGTAAAGAACAAATTAGTGATTTTCAGAGTCTAGCATAAGCTTTTGGAGCTGGTGGAGTAAGGTGTGCATTATATGAATATTTTTGTGAGATCATGCTTTGGAGAATTGAGGTGTATACTTTTAAGAAATGAAATACTGCTATATAGAATGCTTTAACACTTGTCTTTCCTAAAAGAAAATAAAAATAAATGAAAAAAATGAAATTAAATTAAAAATAAAATGAACCTTGAGAAAACATGTATACATTTGACACATTTTTTAAAATGCTGTATGTTACTCTGTGCTGCTGACACATCCCAGTTTGTTTTTACTATCTCCCAATTGATGGACATTTATATTTTTTTTTAATGTTCCAGTTGTAAATAGTGCTGGCGTTCAGTTAGTTCCTTTGTTGTCTTGTATGGTGTTTCTTCATACTAGCCCTTTCTGGTTACCTCTATGATTGGATAATCTTAAAATGCAGGGAACACATAAAGTGTAGTGTTAATGGAAAATATTCACTCTCAAAATTTCCCAAGCCATTTCCTTGAATGAATTCTGTACGTTAATTTGCACTTTCTGTAATTTGCACTTTCTGTAATTTAGTCAAATATACCTATTTGGAGCTGCTAAGAGCCTGTCCTGGACATTTGGAACAAGTTTTCTGTATTTTTCTGCTCAAGAACCTCCCCCCCATCCCCACACACACAGTGCAACTTGAGCAGGGCATAATGAGAGGTGTCTTAGTAGACAGGAAACATGGTTATGCATCCTGTTATCCTCAGACTTTTGTCCAGTTTCTGATGGGAGAAGAGTACATTTGGGATGATGGGGTGAGCTAACTTCTCTTTAAATCTGTTATTATAACTAGCCCATTGTGATACCAACTGAGGGAAGTCTTTGAGGAGGAATAAGAGGAAGTTTAGTTTTATTTACAATTGAGTAATTTACCCAGAGATATATTTTAACAGCTCAGGAAGGAGTCATAACCATGATAAAGACATGTTGATAGGATTATTTTTGTGGCAAGGAAGTTCAGTCCTGATACTTAATACCAGGAAACAAAAATAAAACCAACAACAAAAAAAACTTTATTTTTTCTTAGGACGGTCATAAAAGAGTGGGCAAAGAGTGGAACAAGGGTGATTACTGTGGGAATCAGAAGAATGCAAAATTCCAGATGAGAGTACAACATTTTGCTGTTTTGCTGGTTTGGTGCTTGTGGAGTGAACCCTTTGTTTCATTGAGTTAGCTCCGGTAATAACTAGGATGCTTTGTTTTAAAACACAGGACAAGTATTGAAAGTTTCTTGAATACCTCACCACCAACTCCATACAGTGATATCTGGGTATAATTTTTTGATTCTTAAAATAAGCATGCTATTATGTTTATTTTTTACTGACAGTAATGACCCAGGTGGGGTAATCAATACTGTAGATTATGGTGGTTAGATGACAGGCTTGATATGGTTGAAAACCTCCCCAAACCTGCTTTGGTATCTGTCTGTTCCTCCTGGAGTTGTATTGCCTTCAAAAAGAAAAGAAATTGTGTATTCGGAGATCCACATTTACACATATGCAGAAGGAAACCTCGGGAATTTTGAGGTGTGCTGTGTAATTCCATACTACTTATCTCTTGCTATTTGACTATTCATAGGGTTGTAAGCTTATCAGAACTCACATAGAAGCATCCAGGTACTGTATGTCAACCACTTTGCTTGCCCTTTGCTGCCCTTGTCTGTGAGTTGATAAAGGTCTCAGCTGCATTTGGTCTGGGGAGCTTCAGAAGCTCTTTTATTTGCTCCATCTATGTTCTACAGAGGCCGCTGTGTGTGTCTGTTCCCTAGTAGACTCGAGTCCCTTGCCTGCTCTGTTTTTAGACATCAATCCTTATTTTGATGTGTTTTTTTTTCCCCTTAACTCTATTTCCCAGATTTGCTTGCTCATAAAATCACCCAAAGAACTTTAATATCTGAAATCAGGCAAGTTTAGGAAAGATTCTTCCCTTGATCCCTTGGACCTGTTTCTCAGAGCATAGGTGTTGAGTACCGTCAAGAACCAAGAACCATAGGGCGTTCCTGCAAGCATTTGGTGTCCTGCGTGGCTCTTGGCAGGAAACAGACTCTAACAAAAATGTTAGCATTCACTTCCTAAGGATCCTTTCCAGAAACCAAGAAAGGTTCAATAAGTCTTGTGAATTATGGCAATGCTTGATGATTTCAACAATGATTTGAGTGCATACTATGTGCCAGGCATTTGTGCTAGGTGCTGGGGATATACAGCTGTGAACGAGGCAACTAACATTTATGGAAGTGCTTATCATGGGATGGATTCCAAGCTAACTGCTTCACATACCTTTTCTCGTTAAAACTTCACAACTGTCCTGTGAGGTAGGTATCATCACCTTCTTTTTAAAATTAAGGAACTGTTATTTCGAGAGTTTGATGTGACCCAAGTCAGGGATCTAGTGACAGGAAGCCCCAGAATTCACCCCTAGGCTGTGAGATCCCACAGCTCCTGCCTCCTCCCACTGAGTTTCTGCTTCTCCACCCCAGGGATGATTTCCCACTTGCCCCTTTCTACTTGAAATATTGATTCCAAACTCGGCACAAGCTAGAATAGCTGGGGATTAAAAAAAAAAATCTATCATTGCCTGACTTCCATAACAGACAAATTAAATACAAACGTTTAATGGATCCTAGCTATCCACCAATATTCATGAAGGGCTGGGAGCCTCTGGAGCAGAGATTTACAGATTGGTGTTGTCTACTGTCCCCTTTCCAGCAAAAAACATAAGATGACATCCTAGAAATCTTCCTTCTTTAAGCAAACAAAGTGTCCCCCTCCCCGGGTACACCTGAGGCTTCATACCAACCTCCATTTTCCTGTATTCCCCTCAAGATGTGGGGGGCGTGTTTCTGACATTCTTTCATAGAGTATTTGGCTGATGAAATATTCAAAAGGAAAACATTCCTATACTTTCCTTTAAGCAAGTTCCAAGTTCCTTTAAGCAAGTATAATATAATTACTTGATTATATAGAAGTTCTTCAAGAGAAGAACATTTTAAATGTGTGTATGTATATATATACATATATATATTTATGTATACACACATAATATACATATACGTATACTCAAACACACCTACAGAGGAACTCAGAAACTGGGCAGTCTGGGGTTAGAGTAGTAGTATAGCACTTGCATATATGGCGTATGTGCTTGGCATGTGGCCAAACTGTGTTAGATCCTTGGCATCACTTATGGTCTCTGAGCCTGGCCAGAATCAGTCCCTAGTGCAGAGTAAGCTGTATATTTTTCAGATATGGCCCCAAAACAGACAAATTTAAAAAACCCCAAGAAATTTGTTATCTGTTGACAGGGGACATACAATTGACCCTTAAATAAACATGGGTTTGAACTTCAAGACTCCACTTACATGTGGATCCTTAAAAAAATATGTAGGTTCCACATTGGAGTCAGCTAGCCACAGATGTCACAGTTGAATCTCCTAATACAGAATCTAATTATATGAAGGGCTGACTGTAAGACAGTGTTTGAGTTTGTGGAGTTTATTTATATCCATAGTTCTACAATGTCCAAGAGTCAACTGCATAGTTAAGAGTGAGCATTGGTAAATCTGTGGAAAAAGTTCTGGGGTCTCACTTTCCTGGAGAGATCCAAAGAATCTGAGACACTTGCTTTTGGTTGAATGGGAAGAGGAAAATTTTGGAACCAAAGATAGTTCAGGGAAGTTTCTTGATGTGCATAGGTCACTATTCAGTTAAGTTTTTATGGTTCAAATAAAATAAAAAGTTAAATTATTTGGATATTGCTAGTATGGATATATTAGGATATGTCCTCTATGTACTCTAGTGTTTATTTGGAAACTTTTAAGAAAAATATACCCTTAGAAGAAATAAATTTCTTCAAACCATGTACATAAACTTTTAAAAACTGCTCAACAGCATAAATGTATATACTTATAAACTTAAGTGTTCTGTATTTCAAGCTTTAAGTACTTTGTTAAGCATTCATCAGGTGCTTAGGAGTATTCTGCCTTTGTGAAGGTGAAAATTAATTAATGTTAATTCTACACTGTTATGTTACACAATGAACTCTCCACTAATTAAATCTGCTTTTGCCTTCAACCATAAGAGTTGTGATTGCCCTCTAAAAGAGGTTCTTGTCACAGCAACAGTATCAAGTATGAAGAGTAACTGGTCAGTTAAAGTCATCCTCAAAGTCATGCTCCAAAAATATCGTAGGGGAAAAAAAACAATAAGTTAAACCTGGACTTGAAGACATATCTCTAAGAAGAAAGATTCCCAGGGTGTTGGGGAAGAGGGTGGGAATGGGAAGGGCTGGGTGGGAAATGAGGGGTTCTTTAGACAGAAAAATTAAAAAAAAATCAGTCATTGGTACCTCACTATTCTCAGAAAGCTCAGTGAGTCTTTGTATATCTTAAAACTGAGCCATCAACCTTGATGGGATGGTTGAAAAATAAGTTTCCACTGGGTGAAAGAGTCCTTGGGTGGCGATGACCGGAATCGATCAGCACCAAACAGAAAAGGGGGTGGGGGGAGCGGGAAGAAAATAAACAGTAAAATTATACTGAAAAGAAAAACATGAAAAAATGGCCTCCTTTTTTACATTTCCACATAGGTGATCTCCATACCAGGAGATGAACTTGAACTTGGTTGGGCGGGAGACGAACCTGGTTGGGCGGGACACTGGAGCCCCTCAGAGAATTTGGGATTCTTCCATTTTTACTGGGAGGGTTGGCAGGTATAACATGTGTTGTTATGTGAGTCCATGAGAGCCGCCGGGCTTCTTGCGCCCTGCCTCTCCGTGGGGTGGGGCGTCGGTCGCTCCCTCTGAAGCACTCGACTGATCTCTGTCTGTGGCTTACCCATGAGCAGTGGCTTGGAAGTGTTAAAGCATGAGAAGCATGCGGTCGGAAGCATGTCCCGCCGTCACCTTCTACCTGGTTCTGCATGGGGAATGGCCCTGAGTGCCCAGCCTCCCAGCTCAGGGCCTTCCTTCTCTCTCCACAGAATTCCCTGAAGGCTTCAAACCGGAAGAAGAAGAGAACAAGCTTTAAAAGAAGAGCCAGTAAAAGAGGAACCGAAGTAAGTGTTTCAGGACAAGGGTCAGACAGACTCCAGCCCTTGCTCCATCCAACAAGATGGAACCCATGATTGCCAGCTTGTTTTCCTGACATGCTTGCAATCACTCGCTTTCCTCTACTAACTCAAAGCGCACCGGATTGGTGTTTTATTTCTTGAAGTATAGACATGTAAAAATATCTGCATACGTACACATGTGCCTGGATATGTGCATTACACAGATGAGCTCAGGCTGCTGTCTAGCAAGCTTGATAGGGGGTGTTCTGTTGAGAGGAAACTGCAAAGCAGGATGTGGGTGTTTGGGGTTCGGTGTGTATGTTTTTTGTTCTTCAGAGGTATCTTTGTGGATGCAGGAGTGTTGATTATTTCCCATTCCCTTTGCTGTGGGGCTGTTTTCAAGTCCTGGCTCTGTTTTTATTTTTTTTTTATCTTTTTATATATTTTAAAATTTGGGGTAGTGTTTTTTTTTAAAAAAACTATATTGGTTGAGATACTATGATTTAAAATATTGTTAATGATGGCTTCATGCATACATTATTCCAACACTACACTCATTACCAGAGTACCCTCTTCCCCCCTCCAAGGTCACCTTCCTCCCCCCCCCACAGGACTCCCCAAAACTTGGTTCTGTGGACCAGCTCTTCCATTCTGTTACCTTTGGCCCTCTGCTGGTACTTTACTGTGTATCTTAAGTCCCACCCATGAGAGACATCATTTTCTGTCTGCTCCTGTCCTTCTGCCTGACTTCACTCAGCATGAGATCCTCTAGGTCCATCCAGGTTGCAGTGAATTGCATGATTCTGCCCCTCTTAGAGTTGCATAGTATTCCACACTCTATACATGCCACAACCTCTGAACTGACCCTATTTTTCAGTAGTGCTGCTCTCTTCCTTCAGCAGGAGAACAAAGGCCGTCCTTTTGTGATAAAGCCCATTTCTTCTCCTCTGATGAAACCTTTGCTCGTGTTTGTGAACCCCAAGAGTGGAGGCAACCAGGTGAGTGACTTCTCATGAGTGCAGTGCCTGTGTTTCAGCGTGCCCTGGAAAAGACAGTTCCTAGGCCCAATTATGACATGGTTGTCTGCCTCTCTCAATGTTAGCTAAATCCCAACCTGGGTGTTGAAGAACTCCTAAGTGTTAAAAACTCCTAGCCACTTGTTTATGCACAGAACCACAGATGGACATCGGGGACTAAAATGCAGTTTGTGAAGTCGTAGGTGAGTGGGATTCTGCTTTACTAGGAGGATGATGTTACTGCTGCTCACAGGTCAAATCGAGTAGTACGAGCCCAAAGCAGTCAGTAGAGAAATATTTAGTTGCTTTTTAATCCTGATTGTTTACTTATTTTAATTGCTTTTGTGTGTGTTGGGCGGCACATGTGGTGATGTTTTGTGCTACTCCTGGCTCTGTACTCCAGGGACCACAGTTTTTGAACTGGGGTCAGTTGTGTGCAAGACAAGTGCCTTACTGACACCTAAGGATAGTAGATACACGGGACAGGAAGATTGCTCCATAAGTGGAAGTCTGCCTCATGAGCAAAGGGGAAGAAGGCAGCTAGAATAGAGAAGGGATCACTAAGAAAATGATGGCTTGAGGAACCTGTCGGGATGGGACATGTGTGCAGAAAGTAGATAAAGGACCAAACATGATATCCTCTCAGTGTCTGTATTGCAAACCATAATGCCCCAAAGTAGAGAGAGAGTTTGGGGAATATTGTCTGCCATGGAGGCAGGGGGAGGGTGAGAAAGAGGGGGTATACCAGGGATATTAGTGGTGGGGAATGTGCACTGGTGGAGGGATGGGTGTTTGGTCATTGTGTGATTGTAAACCAAACATGAAAGCTTGTAACTATCTCACGGTGATTCAATAAAATTAAAAAAAAAATTAAAAAAGACAAGTGCCTTAACCCCTGAACTATCTTACTCTAGTCCCCTGTTTTTTACCTTTTAGCGGTTGTGCTGTTTCACTTATGTACCTGCAGATCATGATCACGGTCCTCCCGTTGTTCATCGATTTGCTTGAGTGGGCCCAGTAAACGTCTCCATCATGAGACTTGTTGTTACTGTGTTTGGCATATTGAATATGTCACAGGTAGCTTGCCAGGCTCTCCGAAAGGGGCAGAGGAATCGAACTTGGGTCGGCCATGTTGGATGCGTGCAAGGCAAATGCCCTATCCGCTGTGCTATTGCTCCAGCCCTCCAGATAAATTAAAAAAAAAAAAAAACACTCCCTTGGGGCTGGAGTGATAAGTGGGTGGGGGCACTTGCCTTGCCCATCCCCAAGTTGGGTTTGATCCTCTGCAACTCCTCTGGTCCTGCAGGGCCTGCCAGGAGTGATCTGGGAGCAGGAACCAGGATTAATTGTTGACAATGGCCAGGTGTAGCCCCCAAACAAGACCCCTACCAAAAAAGTCACTCCCTTCTCTTTCTGAAGCTGAAGCTTCAATGGCTTTACAATTTTGCTGACGCTTCTTCTGCCTTTTAAATATATAGTTAAACTATATCGCCATCTGCTGGCAAGAAAGATTCCCATAGCTTTGAAAAAATCAGAAGGTGCTTTCCGTGTACAAGGAAAAATTCCCATCCTTTTGTAGGAATGCAGTAGAGTGAACACATCCAGGGGTTGCTTTTGTGCCCTTATTTTAAACTGCTGATTCTTTAAAAAAAACTCAATTTAAGCAGGCTCTTTACAACGATGTTCTGTTTTTCTAACACTTGTGAGGTGGAGATGATAGTGGGTGTTTTGTGAAGTTCTAGAGGTCGGTGGCAGGGCTCTTCCATCGGCATTGCACTTGTCTGAGAAAGTGAGCATTGAAGAGACCACAGTGCCATTTCTGAGTGTTTTCTCCTGTGCAGGAGAGGAGAAGCATGTAAGATGAACTTTATTCCTGTAATGCCCCCTGGAGCGATAGCACAGTGGTAGGGCGTTTGCCTTGCACGCAGCCAGCCCAGCCAAGCTGGGTTCAATTCCTCCGCCCCTCTCGGAAAGCCTGGCAAGCTACCGAGAATATCTCGCCCACACAGCAAAGCCTGGCAAGCTACCCGTGATGTCTTCAATATGCCAAACACAGTAACAACAAGTCTCACAATGGAGATGTTACTGGGCCCGCTTGAGCAAATCGATGAACAACGGGAGGACAGTGCTACCTAGTGCCACCCTCTGCAGGAACATCCAAGAACTTGAGAAACACACCTCCTCCCTTTCCCTGGAACATGGGATTTGTTTTGCTTTCTCCTGGTTGTCCCAGGCTTGAGTCTTCCTGTTGGAGCTGTGTAGACCAGTGTTTCTCAGCCTTTTACTGACCATGGTATATCTCTCTTCCAACCTGGCATCCTGGTGGCCCCCTCACAGACACCCCCCCCCATCCTACCAGTCGGCCCTAGTCTCATGCCACAACTTCCATTTATGCCATTTTTGGTTGTGTCCCTCTGGAATACTCTGGAGGCACATAGAAGGTTTCATGGCTCCTGGCTGAGACTGCGGGGCCTTCCTGGGCTCACTGCGGTGCCCTCTCATTCTCTCACAACCTCATTGTCAGTGACAGCGATTACGCATTCCTGGTAGGTGGGTGGAGTGAGCGCTCAGTGATTTTAGCGGGCTGGGCCTGGCAGTCCGGAAGGGCTGGCCCTTCTCACACTGTCCCGTCTGAACCCCAGGTTGACAAGTGACATGAGTCACCCAGGTTGACAAGTGACATGAGTCAGATCCCTGGATCAGAGCTTCCGCGGACTTCACAGAGAAGGAAGAGAGAGAAGGAAGAGAGGGTGGTTAGTCCACATTGTCATCCGTGCACAGGCTTCTCTTTCCTTGGAGGAGGCTTCTCAGGCTTCTCTATGTCAGGACAATCCATGCTGGGTGGGGAGAAAGGGAAGAATAAAAGAGTTACTCTTTCTCTGCCTCATCACTTTATCTTTTCTTTTGTCGACAATGCATAGATGTTTCTAGAAACCAAGCTCTTCTCTGTCTTCATACCTATGGTCCTTCATCTAAAAGAATGGAGTCAGTGAACAGATGAATAGATGAGCCATATTCATTTCCCTCTCTAAAACTCTCTACCCTTTCCCCCGGAAGTGTTTCTCTCCTCTCTCTTTGCTGGGGACTCCACCACCATTCCTGAGAGAACAATGTTTTCTCACCCTGAAACAACACTTTATAACCAGTCTCATAATGCCTTAGAGTTTCTGGCTGGCTAGGTATTATATTCACAGCTGTGGAGTGACAATGGAAGTTGTTTTATCATTGAGAAAATAAGACGTTTTGTACACACTTTCATGCAAACTGTTTCTGCATTCAGCATATAGCATGAGGTAACTCAGAGAGTTGTGGACTTCATGAGTGTCAGTTATATAAATGACAATAGAGTTAATCCTGGCAGCAGGGAAAGAAAGAAATTACTCATTTCCTGTGAATTAGGATTTGTCAAACCAGTCATTCTGTGGAGCAGATGACTTCTATTAAAGCCCTAAAGTAGCTTATCCTAAAGGTAACAGCGTTAACAGAACTGATTTAAATGTGTGGCAGATCTTTTTCCTCCACCCACCAGGAATGATTTTAAAACAATGCAATGCTGTCACTCAGACACTTAGCATTTTAGACATATCTTAGAGAGATGACGTCTCAAAGTAATAATATCATGTCTGAATGTAAATTCTGATAGAGGAACCAGGGAGTGGCTGTTGGGGTCTTCTCCAGGCCTCTGTTCAGCAAAGGGCCACCCGTCAGGGTCCTGAGGACAGAGGGGAGTTTCCCTCCAGCTAAGGGGAGGGGTCTGGGGAAAAGAGCAAACCTTGCCACCACCTCCTTCAAGAAAAGAGAAATTAGCTCACAAGCACGGTGAAGGTCCTGTATAGCAGCTCCATTTTATTGAGAAACATCAAGCCTTTATATAGGCTGAGGTGGGTGCTGGGAGAGTGCAATTGGTCACATACACAGGGTGATCAGAACAAACATGTTTTCTATAGTTAGGGTCACACCTTCACTGCACATTTGCCAGGAACATCCTGTCCCCAGGTAACATTGAACTGTGGTACGCAGGGTCACAGGCTTCCCCACAAAGCAGGCCAAAAGGTAATATTCTCCCAACAATCTGCCCTCTGAGCCCAGGAATTAGTGTTACACTTCAAAGCAGATCAAAAGGGGCTTGTCTCCCAACAAGTGGCTATGCAAGTGAGTCCAACACAGTTCTGAGGGAATTGAGGCACATTATTCCAACACACTGCAGTGTAAGGGAAGCTGCTTGGGGTGTGCCGATCCAAACTTACTTATGTACACACCTGGCCTACTGAATACCTGCTTCTCCTCAAGAGGAGAAATGAAAATAATTGGGTGTTCCAACTAACATGAATTGAAACAGAGCGAACAACAACTGTGGGGCCCCCAAATCTTTAATAGCTCTCTCTTTTTTTTTAAATTTTTATATTTTAAAAGGTGTTAACACATTGATGATGGCACTGCAGTTGGGATTTCTTGCCATCTGGAGGCTGCCTTAAATAATTCCTTCTTTCTTTTGCTAGAAAGTAAAAATTTTAAAGTATCGAGTAACTTAATTTTCAAATTGATAGTAGTTATTTTTTTTTCTGTTTTACATAGCCAATGGAATGAACGATGGAACAATCTATCCGATGTGATATCCAAATGTATGCCATCAGTGGTACGGGCCATCTGATGGGGCACCCGGGTGTGAACCAGCAGTGGTACATGGTGTCCAACATTTTATCACCTAATTTTGTGTGCTTAAAAGAAACTGAAATTGAGATGGGGATGCTGCCTTAGCTGAAGGTGGCATTCACATGAAACTTTTATGTTACTCTAAAATCTAAAAGTAAAAAATTGAGTGTTAGTAAATTGGAATGACCTTTTTTTTTGCGGGGGGGCCACGCCTGTTCCTGTTAAGGGGTTACTCCTGGTTCTGTACTCAGGAATTACTCCTGCCGGTGCTCAGGGGATCATATGGGGTACCAGGAATCAAACCAGATTTGGCTGCATGCAAGGCAAGCATCCTATGCACCAAACTAGTTGTCCACCTGACTTATCTTTATGAATTTACTAATTGTTAGAAGGACTCTGGTGTTACTTATAAGACATTATTTGAGACAATCCCCAACTGATGTCTATGAGAATGATCCAATTTTTTGTTAGTACTATGTGTCTGAATCTGTGTCTGACTTTTATAGAAAGCAAAATATGTCCTTTAGTGGAACTGAAGGATTTGCTATAATAAATAGTGATAGTATGTTATTCCTAAACTTATAGCAAGCACATGATAAAGTAGAACTTTTAAATTATAGGCTTGGGTGAAATGGGGAACAAAATATCTGCATGGGCTCCATCACAACTGGCATAACAATGTGATAATTATAAGGGGCACCGTTAGCCCTCACACTCTCAATCGTAATTTAATGAGTAGGTTAACAAGGGGGAAAGAACAGGGAACTAACATCAGAATAACCTATTTTGTGCCATAATACTGGGTTGGACATATAACTATTACTGATTCGCTTAGTGCTCTTAATCTCCCTGAAAAATAGATGACGTCCTCCTGTTTTATATGCTGAATTTCTGCAAGATTTTTCAATGCTCATTATTACCCAGTTAGAACACCCGCTAGTTCTGAATCAAATATGGTGCTGTTTCTGTCCTACCAGGTTGACTCTCAATTATCTGATAGTAGATATGCAAACTTGGAGCAGTTTTTAGAAAGAACGGTCACGTCTCTCTAATTATGAGCAATGAACCATGCCCAGCTGATCAAACTGATCAACTATCAGCTACTGCTATGGTTACAAATAATGCGGAATCAGGCACCCTACTTAGTTTGAAAGCTCCTTTGGTACTTCTTAATGAGAAGGAAATATTTTTCATTTCTTCTTTGCTTAATCTGCCATAAGAAATGATTTCCCTGTGACGGTCCAGCTGTGGTCTGAGTATGCCGTGAGGGGCACGGAAAGGACTTTGGAATAATGATGGAGACAGCGTGGCACTGTACCTGCCTGGTGCAGCAGCGTGTCCAAGGCAATAATACGGCACTATCATTAAAAATAAAAAGCAATGAAAACGCAGTGATGCCCAGAGCTTCCTTGTATCTTCCTTGATGATCACTTTGGCATTTCTGATGGTATTCTGGCATGTATAACAATTACTGAAACACTCCAAATATGTTTATGTGAGAGAGAAATGTTTGGCTTGCACAGTCAGATATAGATGTGGAAACTGGAAAATGTCAAAATGATATTTTATACTATCTGGAAAAGTTCTATGTAGTATAAGCACTAGGCAGTTTTGATAGTTTCACTTCAGTTAAACATTTCATTTCAGTAAGACTTTATTTAGCCAACAAGGTCTATATTTCTTCTTATGAAAGACTATAGTAATCCTCAAAATAAAGTAAACATTAGTAATTTGTCATACTAATTCCCTATGTGGGTTTGTTGCTGTTGTTAAGTAGTCCTGGCATACTTTTATCAAGCACAAATTTGTATTGAACTTTCTTGTAGCATCCTTTCAACTATCTGTGAACCAGGTTTTCTGATCTCTTCATTAAAGAGAAGGTAGCTGGGCCAAATGAATTTAAGAAGTTTACTCAGTTTAGGGCTGGAGTGATAGCACAGCGGGTAGGGCATTTGCCTTGCACGTACCCAACATAGCCGATCCGAGTTCGATTCCTCTGCCCCTCTCGGAGAGCCCTGCAAGCTACCGAGAGTATCTCGCCCGCACAGCAAAGCCTGGCAAGCTACCAGTGACGTATTCGATATGCCAAACAGAGTAACAACAAGTCTCATGATGGAGACGTTACTAGGCCCGCTCGAGCAAATCTATGAACAACAGGAGGCCAGTGATACAGTGATACTCACTTTATTCAGAATTTTATGTTAGAGTCAAATCTAGGTATTTAATATTCTCTTTATTGTCAAAAATCCACATTAGCTCTGTACCATTTAGATTCCACTTCGATCCTCTTTCTGATAATCATGATCACAATCACAGTCATCCTGTTGTTCGTCGATTGCCTCGAGCAGGCACCAGTAACATCTCCTGCATCCTAGCCCTGAGATTCTGAAAAGTGCCTCATTCAAGGCTCTTTCAGGGTTAGGAGAATGAGACCCATCATTGTTACTGGTATTTGGCATATTGGGTACGCCACGGGGAGTTTGCCAGACCCTGCCATGTGGGCAGTTTACATTCTGTAGCTTGACAGGTTGTCAAAGTAAGAATGAGATCACTGGGTTTTATAGTCTCTGGGTCTTGGCCATTGATGGGATTACACTGTGCCAGGGGGAGGGGGGACAGTTGGTGGGTGTCACCCCCGCCTACTGGAAGATGGAGGATCTGGGTGGAGGATGATCAGCCCCTATTCGAGCAGGCTTGGAGATCTCAGCCCCCGGGACCCGCATGCCTTTGTTCCTCTGCTGGTACCTTCATGCCTGTGGAGAGTGGTCTCAGCATGGTTGTGGCTGGTTCTGGAGGTCTTTGGCTGCCGGGGCTCTGCTCAGGGCAAGGAGGGAAACTCAATCCGCCCTCCTCCAAGGGGCCCCGGTGAGGACAGCCAGGCATGGGGTCAGGAGACTCTGCTGTTCTCTTCCGGGAGCTGGGTTTTATAGTCTCTGATAATAAGATTTTTAAAACTTTAGCAGCTAATATTGACATTTTCTTCTTTTCGTCATTATTTTTCTTTTACAGGGAACCAAAGTCCTGCAGATGTTCATGTGGTACCTGAACCCACGGCAAGTCTTCGATCTTTCTCAGGAAGGGCCCAAAGATGCGTAAGTCTGGAAATAACCCGGTTCATGCTGGTAGAAGGACTTTCTGCTGCAGACTCAAGCTTTCTTATTTCATTGCTTTATGAAATATTTCTCTGCCATGTTTCATGTATTTCCTGTTTTCTCCTCTCTTTAAAACTCCATTGGTGTTTTCTTCATTGAATTCAACTTCTGTCTTCTAAGTTTTTGTCTTAGTGACTACTTCCAATATTTTTTTGATTATGTACATGAAATTATGGATTGTTAACAAGTCTGTAACTTGAGAAAGAATCTATCATTTTTCTACCTATGCTAAGTAAATTTAGAGAAGTTTATGTTCATGTATTTAAATTTAACTGTGTGTGCATGTGTGTGTGTGTGTATGTGTGTGTGTACACATTTGAGATGGAGATCAATTGATTGATTGCTTGTATCTATATATTATAACCCAGAGAAGGTGAAACTATTAATTCCTGCACAATTCTTTTTCTGAGCTACTTGGGGAATTTTATCTACTTTTATTAAACATGTTGAATAAAAGTTTAGATGTAGGTGATTTGCATTCTGTATTTTGTTTTTGTTTCGTGTTGTGACAGGGAACATGGTGAAAAAGAGTAGGAACATTTCTGCTGAATTTTGATATTTTTTTTCTTTTTGGGTCACACCTGGCAATGCCCAGAGGTTACTCCTGGCTCTGCACTCAGGAATTACTCCTGGCGGTGCTCAGGGGACCACATGGGATGTTGGGAATCGAACCTGGGTCAGCTGTGTGCAAGGCAAATGCCCTACCCACTGTGCTATGGCTCCATCCCCAATTGATAATTTTTAAAACCCACCTAATTTGTATGTCATCTGAAAAACACTAGGGATTAAGCAATATTCCCTTATTTTAAAATAAAGAGTAATATCAGGGGCAAAAAAGTATCAACTCAGATAATTTCTAGGAAATTAACAATGTTTGTCTAGGAAATTGATATATTTTAAGCATGCAGGATAAATATTAATTCTACTATCATTGTCTTAAGCTATGAACATTTTTGCCACTAGAGTTTGCTATAAGACTTCTATATTTTTTCTGCCTTGGAATGTACTAATGCAAATATTCTACTCTGATTTTTCTTCTTTATCTTCCTTACTTAAGATTTTCCTTTTAATTAGACTTCAAGTAGATTATTTACAGAGCATAAAAAATAGGATAATGTGCTTAATATTTTCAGAGAAAATATTTCACCTAACTACTAAATGCTTTTTAGATGCATTGCAACGCTGAAGTAACTGTGGCACCCTTGTGTTTTCTTGAAAACCAACAGGAGGGATAAAATGCAGCCGTATATTATTACTTAGAAGAATATGGAATAAAGGAAATGAAAAATTATCAAAACTTCCCCTTTGGGTTGAAGATATAAGTAGAGGCTCAGGTGTTAACTGAATTGAGAGATGGACTTGTAAATGTGGTAATAAGTTCTGTAAGCAACCCATCACTTGGTGTCCCCATCTCTGAGAAGAAGTTTCCTAGGATTAAAAGTGGAAAATACAGGTTTGAAAAACACAACCAGAAAAAATTAATAAAATAGAAATAGAAGAAATATAGTGACTAGTGGTTTCCTGCAGATTTTTTTTTCTCCATTTGAGAAAGAGGGACAGAAGCAATGGGGAGAGGAAAAAATCATATGTTGACTTATTCATAGGACTTGTGGGGACAATGTCTGGGGTATCCTAAAATGTCATTCTGATATTTGTCATTAGAAAATGATGTTTGCTGTCAGCCTCTGATCCAGTGATTGTGATGATCTGATAACCAGTTTTGACACTATCATCCCCATGACTTTCTACTCTCTCACTGGAGTTTCCACCCAACCCATCATGTGGTTTTTCCTCTGCTGGGGTCAGCCCTGTGCACTTTACTTACTATTTCTTCTATTTCCTCCGCAGGCTTGAGTTGTACAGGAAAGTACCAAATCTGCGAATTCTGGCCTGTGGAGGGGATGGAACGGTAGGTCCTCGAAATAGAATCTAGTTCTTTCTTCTTATTTTTTCCATCTCTCATTTTCCTTATGAGTGTTTGTTCCTCATTCCCAGTGTTTCCGAATCCCTAAAATTAACATCTTTCACATGAACGATGGGCCTTACGAGTTAGAAAGATTTTGTTATTATCCCCATGGATTCATACTTGGTTTTTCTTGATTTTGTTTCTATCGGTCAGTTCTGCAATGTCTGTTCCACAAGCTAAGGGTTATTAGATGAAGATTATATACAAGTAAATTCTTTCAAAAATACTAGTTCACTTTCTTTTTTTGGTTGTTCTTTTTTTGGTTGCTTTTTTGGTCCCACTCAGCTGTGCTTAGGGTGTACTTGTGACTTTGCCCTTAGGGCTCACTCCTGGCGGTGCCCTGGGGACCTTATGAGTTGCCAGGGACTAAAATAGAGTCAGCTGCATGTAAATCAAATGCCTTAACCCCTGAACTCTTATTCTATCTCTCCTCCCCCTTCCATTTGTTCTTAATAATTGATCATTGTGATTAAGGTAAATAAATAAGCTGAATTACTGCATTCACACCCCAAATGCAGACTCCCACTCAGTGCTCAGAAAGTTCAGGGGCCCCACTGGGATTCTCTGCCATCCAGGCCAGGGGTTCAGTGCTCATTCCTGAGAATGCAGTGCTGTTTTGGCCCTGTAGTGCCAGGGGTACTTCGGCCACCAGACAGTGCTGAGGACCTCCAGAGTCTTGGACTATATTCAGTGATGCTCAAGTCCCAAAATACTGCATTTAAAAAAATGATTGGGGGTCCAGAGTGATAGCATAGCAGGTAGGGTGCTTGCCTCGCATGCTGTCACCCGGGTTTGATCCCTGGCGTCCCATATTGTTGCATGAAGTGATATCAGTTGGTCGGAGGTTGCAGAGACAAGATGCGAGAGGAATGTAGAGAGCATGGGTGGCCAAGGCATCGATCTGGCTCAAGGCGACTTCTGATTGACTAATATCACTTCATGCAACACCATATAGTCCCGCCAGCACCACCAGGAATATTTCCTGAGTGTAGAACCAGGAGTAAGCATTGCTGGTTGTGGCCCCAAATACCAAAAAATAAATGAATAAAATAATACTTTTAACAAAAGATTGGAAATAAAGCTTAGATTATTGACTAACAGTGATTTTTTTGAAGGTCATTGATTGATTCTATTTGTTATTTGTTTTCAAAAAAAAGGATATAATTTGTTTAAAGTTTAATATCACAGATATATTTTCTCCCTCTTTCAGCCTCTTCTTTTAGTCTGCCCTCTGCTTACACTGATATATTTAGCAAAGGAAAAAAATATGAGAATCATGGCATTTAGATTCTGCTATCTAGTAACTTTTGTTTCTGCATTTGAAATCTGCTCTCATAGCATCTAGAATTTTATTATAAACTATCTTTGGCTTTTTCCTAATCTCCCAAATTAGAATTTTTATTCTCAAAGGTAGCAACGAAATCTTCCAGTTTTTTCTCTCACAACACATGGTCACTTAATATAATATTGAACACACACCGAAAAATAATGAATCTAATAGTTTCTTTAGATAATTCATGGAGATAGAAATACTTATTTTGGATGTGAAGAAAATGTTTACTATTATTTGGGGTTTATAATATATCCTATTAGCTTATAAAACTCATTATGAAGTCTTACAGTAAAGAAGCCAAAACTATTTTAATTTATTTAACCTGCTGTTTTCCAAAATTATTTGACCATAGAATCCCCCAATAATTACAATAATATTTTAATCAACTATGGTGAGGTATATTTAGGAATATGCAAGTGTGGGATTTTTTAAAACTTCCTTCGATAAGAATTACATCTAAACACATCATCTGGAGAGATTCTGTCCCTCCTTCCTTCCCTCTCTCTCCCTCTGTTTTTCCCTCCACCCATCTGTCCCTCTCTATCTCTCACATTCTTCCCAGCTCAACCACCATCAGATTATTCAACTTTAACATGGCATTAAACACACTGTGTCCCTTTACTGCATTTATCTTTCATATTTTATTTATTTGTATATTTTATTTTGGGGGTCACATCCAGTGGTCCTCCGGATTTACTCCTGGCTCAGTGCTCAGGGATCACTTCTGGCAGTGCTTGAGGGATCTTATGGGGTGTCTGCAATTGAGGCTGGGTTGTCTGTGTGCAAAGCAAGAGTCCTGCCTAGTGTACTAACACTCCATTCCCCTATCTTTCATTATTTTTAATGTACTTATCTTCTCATATGACTTAACATATCACTCACTTCTTTCTCTTTCTCTAAATCTCAGAGACAATGGTATCCTGAATTCAGGTTCCTAACATATATGAATTGCCCTTAAATCCACATCAATTACTTTGTTCATGTCTATGATCTTCATTGTTGATTGGATACTTCACCATCCAGACTTCTTTTTCGATGATCCTTAACCCCCCACCCCCCACCTTCCACACCTTTTCTTCCTTTCTCCTGCTCGGGAGATATGCATACAATACAAAGCACTATTGTGGTCCTGAGACATTCTCTGCATCTAGAGAAACATTTGGAAAACATGAAATTTCAAAATGTAAAGGACAAAGGAAAAACAGAAGTATTATTGAAAATAAACACCCCAAAAAATGAAATGTCAATCAAGGAAGAGGCAGACTCAAGAAATTTAAATTTTACCATTGCATCTGGAGGCAAGGTAGTACCTGGTGGTTGTCAATAAAATAGTGTTAACATAGCAGCTGAGATGGAACCCAGAATGACAGGTGGCTCCTGTCATTCTGGCCCCTCCCTCATGAACCCTAACGATGAGACACAATTGCAGTGTTTGAGTATCTGCGAATATACTCTGATACCAGTAAAATCCCCCTTCCACATTGTTAGCCCATATTTCTTACTGTGTCTTCTCTAGAATCTCTTCCTTAAATGTATCATACTTAATTGGCATTCAAGAGAAGTAAATGTTACTTTTCCTTTTTTTTTATTTTCGAGAATCATTTGTTTTATTTATTTATTTATTTTTGACTCACCATCAACGAACAACGGGAGACCAGTGATACAGTGATACAGTGACTCACCATGAGATACAGTTACAAAGTTTTCCTGACTAAGTTTCAGTCATCACTTAATCACTTAATCACTTAACTTCCCGTTAGTCGTCAATTTGCTCGAGCGGGCACCAGTAACGTCACCATTTGTCCCTGTCGCGTGCTAGTGTAGCCCAATGACATCTGTTCGCTCCCGGAACATGAAGGGCCTCAAACCGATCGTTCATGATCTTGACGAAGAAGTCTGACCATCTGGAAGGTGGGTGGCCACGCGGTCTTTTGACATCCCGTGGAATCCAGTCGGTAACAGCTCTAGTCCAGCGGTCGTCTTTAAATCTCATTACGTGACCAGCCCATCTGATTTTCGACACCTTGGCAAATGAGACAGCGTCCCTGATTCTTGATAGGCGACGGATGTCAGAACTCCGGATTCTTTCTCTCATTTGAGTGAAACGTGATATTCCAAGCATAGCTCTTTCTATTCTTCTTTGGGAGACCTGAATAGCGTTCTCATCTTGTTTGTGTAGGGCCCAGGTCTCTGAGGCATATGTTAATGCAGGAAGAACAGTGGACTCAAAGAGATGTGCCCGGAGCCGGAGGTTCTTCGTCCTCTTAGCTATTTCTTCGACGTTCTTGAAGGCGTTCCAAGCCGCTCTCTTCCTCCTGCGCAGCTCGGGTGCCAGGTCATTTGCCATGTTGACCTCTCGACCTAGGTACACATAGCTGTTGCATTCGGAGATGGTCGTTCCGTTGAGAGCGAATGGGGCATCAGGAACAAGGCTGTTTCTCATAAACATTGTCTTCATAAGATTCAGCTGTAGTCCTACCTTTCCACACTCACGGTCAAAGTCGGCCAGCATTTGTGCAGCTTGGCTGATGTTTGGTGTTATTAAAACAATGTCATCAGCAAAGCGGAGGTGGTGTAATTGCCGACCATCTATCTTCACTCTCATTCCTTCCCATTCCAGTCGTCGCATGAGGTTCTCGAGGGTGGCACTGAAGAGTTTCGGTGAAATGGTATCACCCTGTCGCACCCCTCTCTTGACATCAACGATCACTTCTTTGTAGAATGGTGAGATCCTGGTAGTGAATCTGCAATACAGCTCACGGAGGATCTTGTTGTATTGGGCTTGAATGCCCTGATTGGCTAGGGCTTCAATGACCGCTTCCATCTCAACAGAATCAAAGGCCTTCTTTAAATCAATGAACGTTAAACAGAGCGGCATCTTGAACTCCCGAGAAACCTCAATGAGTTTGGTTATCGTGTGGATATGGTCGATGGTGCTGAATCCTTTGCGGAACCCGGCTTGCTCGCATGGTTGTCCTTCATCTAGTGTTCTGCCAATCCTATTTAGGATGACTCGAGTGAACAACTTGTAGATGACAGACAATAGGCAGATCGGGCGATAGTTGCCAATGTCATGGATGTCTCCCTTCTTGAACAGTAGTACGGTCCTGCTGGTTTTCCATTGGGACAGAACCTTGCATTCAGACAGGTAGCGAGTGAAGAGCCGAGCCAGTGTATTGATGAGTACTGACGGCAGGTTCTTCAGGTGTTCAGGTCTGACCTTGTCTGGGCCGGGTGCTGTTTGTTTCTTTACCGACGAAATGGTGTGTCGGATTTCGGAAGGGAGAACATTGGGAACGACATATCCATCCTGTGGAATTTGGTATGTCGGCAAGTGGACATGGCTATTGAAGAGATTTGAGTAGAAGTCATGGATAATCTTCTCCATTGCCGTTCTGGAAGATGTGATGGATCCATCAGGACATCGGAGGGCAGTCATCTTGGTCTTATAGTTGGTGAAGGACAGGCGGGCGTTATGAATACTTTTCCTGGCTTCTGCCACATCTACCAGTACTTCTGCTCTTCTCTCTTTGAGGTCTTCCTTGATTGCATCTCTGCACTGCTTTGCGAGCTTGGACGTAAGCTTGCGGTTGCCTGAGGCATGCGCCAA